CTGGCTTTAGTGGAGCTAAAATCAGGAGCCCCAAACTCTTTTGAAGGTCTTGGCCCCTAGGGATGGTTCTTGGGGCCACCCAAACCCCTCCTCTGCCCCAGAACGAGGGGTCTCTGAGTGTCCCCCAGGACACACATCCTGTGATTGCTCTGAGCTCACCTGGAGCTGCAGTGACCCTCGAGGGCTCAGAGGTTCCCTCTCAGCACCTGGGCTGAGCTGATATATTGGGGAAAGACAGAACCTTCCCTTCCCTTCCCCAAGCATTTTCCCCTTTCTGGAATCACAGAATCCCAGGATGGTTGGGGTTGGGAGGGAACTTAAAGATCATTTCATCCTGTCATGGGCAGGGATGCCTGCCACCATCCCAGGTTGCTCCAAGCCCTGTCCAGCCTGGCCTTGGGCACTGCCAGGGATCCAGGGGCAGCCAGAGCTGCTCTGGGCACCCTGTGCCAGGGCCTCAGTGCCCTCCCAGAGAACATTTCCTTCCCAACACCCCATCTAACCCTACTCTCCTTCCTGCTTTCAGTGTTTCATTTTCTCACATAAACACAGGCCTGAACCCCTAGCAGAGCTGCAAACTCTCAGCCAGAACCCACAGCCTCAGCCCCGTGTGCTGGATGGGAAACTGAGGCAGGGTGAGCAGCCCTGCCCCGGCACCGCAGCGGCACAGGAAGAGGTTTAGGAGCCAGGAGGGCTCCAAGAGCTCTGACACTGCAGAGGGGACAGCCTGGGGGGTGAGGGGCTCACCTCTCCTGCCTGGCTTTCATTTTGGAAGTGAAAACAAACCTTTAGTGGAGGCAGTTCCCGTAAGGGTGACACAGAGCGCGGCCGGCGTTTCCTGTTTCCGCGCTCCACCCTCGCTCCCACAACCATCCTGCGCCACTGTCACCCCCCCTGCGCCTGACACATCATCTCCAGCTGCTTCCCATCCCTCCAGCACGGAAACCTCGGCCTACAAACCAGCCCCAGGGGCACAGACAGCTGCTGGGGCTGCTGCCCGCTCTGCCTCCATCACCTCGCTGCACGTTTGGGACCAAAAATGGAGTGGAAAATCGCTGTCAGCACCGCTCAGGCTGAGGCTGCCTTGGCCCTGGCGCTGCTGCTGCCATCCAGAAGTTGTTTCAAGGGGTGTGGAAAGTGTGTGACAGCCTGTGTGACCCCAAAGGCTGGGGTAAAATCGTGTGTCAGACATTGGGAGGAGGAACTGGCACTGCAGCAGCGCCCGGCCTCGGCACGGGATGTGCACGGGCAGGGGACGGAGCAGAACCTGGCAGCTCCTCTGGGTTCCAGAATACCCTGAAGTGGGAAGGGATCTACAAGGATCATCAGCTCAGCTCCTGGCACTGAACAGACATCACTCTGGGCCTGAGGGTGCTGTCCAAGCTCTCCCTGAGCTGGGGCTGGTGCCCTGAGCAGCTCCTGGGATGCTCTGCACACACAATGCTCAGCTGCCAGGACGTGGGTGAGCAGGGATGGGTGGCTCGGGGCCAGGGCCGTGGAACACCAAGGGCCAGGCAGGGAAAGCACAAAGGGGCTGCAGTTCCTGCTGATCTCCCATGGGATCCACCCCTAAAACTTGCCAGGACACCTGAGTGCCGTGGGGACACTGCAGGTAGGGGAATCTGAGGCAGAAAAGAACCAGTTTGGGACAAAGTGGGTGCGGGGTGGAGCGAGCAGGGCGGGGTCTGACGGGGATAAGCAGTGCTGTCCAAGCACTCCCTGAGCTGGGGCAGGGGCCCTGAGCAGCTCCTGGGATGCTCTGCACACACAACGCTCAGCTGGCACAGGCTCTGCCATGATCTGGGCAAGCAGGGATGGGTGGCTCGGGGCCAGGGCTGTGGAACACCAAGGGCCAGGCAGGGAATGCACAAAGGAACAGCAGTTCCTGCTGATCTCCTGAGGGATCTGTCCCTAAAACTTGCCAGGACACCTGAGTGCCATGGGGCAAATGTGCCGGGCACTGCGGGCAGGGGAATCTGAGGTAGAAAAGAGCCTGTTTGGGACAAAGTGGGTGCAGGGTGGAGGGAGCAGGGCAGGCTCTGACGGGGATAAGCAGTGCTGTCCAAGCTCTCCCTGAGCTGGGGCTGGGACCCTGAGCAGCTCCTGGGATGCTCTGCACACACAACGCTCAGCTGGCACAGGAGCTGGGCAAGCAGGGATGGGAGGCTCGGGGCCAGGGCTGTAGAACACCAAGGGCCAGGCAGGGAAAAGAACAAAGGGGCTGCAGTTCCTGCTGATCTCCTATGGGATCTGTCCCTAAAACTTGCCAGAGATACGTAGGGCAGATACCAGTGCGGTGCTGGGCACTGCAGGCAGGTGAATCTGAGGCAGAAAAGAACCAGTTTGGGACAAAGTGGGTGCGGGGTGGAGCGAGCAGGGCGGGGTCTGACGGTGATAAGGGAGCAGGCACAATCTCAAAGGGCAGAGCAGGCTCCGCTCCTGCTGCGTGACCGAGAGCACGTGTCTGTGCTCCCAGCTCCCTTCCCTGCTGGCTCCATATCCCCCAACAGCTCCAGTGTGGAGCTGGAGATTTGGGGAAGTGCCATGGATCACCATGTCCTGGAAAAAAAATTGCTTTCCAGTGGGATAAATTCATGTTTAACTTCAAAACCTGCTGAAGCAAGCAGCTGCATCCCAAGTTTCTTCATGGCATTTGTCCTCCATTACTTGTGACAGCGCTGAACTCTGCTGCCTCCAGGAATGGGGCTGGACAGGGCTGGAATGGGGCTGGGATGAGGACCAGGGTCTGGACAGTGAAATGGAACACGCTGGATGGCACAGACCCCACCACACCCTCATCCCACCCCAGCCTAAACCACTGTGGCCGCTCCCATGAACCCACCCTGGAGCACCAAGCAACACCCAAGAGCAAAATCCTAAATCCTCAGAGGGAATCACAGCGTAACAAGTTGGGTGTATGTTGGGGAAGATGAAACAGGAAAGCCTTATAAATATGATTGCCTGGCAAAAGATTTTGAGAATATAGAAACTGAAAGCGAGATTGAAATGAAAGCAAGCTTTGAGATCCCTTACAACTGGAAAACAGTGGTATGGCTGGCTGAAGGTAATCCCCTTTTGATGGAACACCCTCTGCTTGCAGACAGGTCCAAGGCTTAGGGCAGACCCTACTAGCCTGGCAGAAGGGGTCCAAGGAGGAGTTTTTAGGGTTTAAAATGTAACACAGTGTGGTAATGTAATGATTCTTATAGGCTGTATGTAAATGCTATAGGATTTGTATCTTGTACTAGACTGGTTAGTGAGAATCAGAATATTCAACACAGAAGAAGATTTATTGTATTGGAATGGGAACTTCGCTCTCTTACTTTTCTATGCTCTTACCCCTTTTACTCTCTTATGTTTTTACTCTCTCACCCTCTCACCTCTCTACCCCTCTCTTCTCTCAGGCTGCTCTGAGCTGTGCCTGGCAGCTCCCAGCAGGGCCCTGCACCCAGGCCCTTTGCAATAAACCCCAAATTCCACGACCAGAAGAAGATTTATTGTATTGTAACAGGAACCTCGTCCTCTTTTATTCTCTCTTTACCCTCTTTGCTCTTCCTCACTCTCTCATCTCTTTACCACACTCTTGCCTTCTCTCTCTTTACCCCTCTCTTCTCTCAGGCCTGCTCTGAGCTGTGCCTGGCAGCTCCCAGCAGGGCCCTGCACCCAGGCCCTTTGCAATAAACCTCAAGTTCCAAGACCAGAAGAAGATTTATTGTATTGCAACGCAAATCTCACCCTCTGATCCTCTCTTTTACTCTCTCATTCTCTCTTTACCACTCTCTTTATCTCTCTCTCCCTCTTTGGGGCCTGCTCTGAGCTGTGGCTGCAGCTCCCAGCAGGGCCCTGCACCCAGGCCCTTTGCAATAAACCCCAAGTTCCAGACCTGGCTGCACAGATCTCTCGTCTCCATCCATCCAGATCATCCTACCCCCATCAATCCTACAGGTATAGAATTATTTATTTCTTTGCACTGCACAAGAAGCCTCAAGAGCCTGCCCAGCACCCTGAGGTGCATCCCTGCCCGTCCCTGCTCCGCGGGTTCCCGGTGCTGGGGAGGGAATTGTACCTGTTAGCTTTGCTGGGCTGTGCTCCTGTGCTGGTTGAGGTGAGAACAGCCATCCATGGAGAAGGAGAACCCCGTCAGCATCCTCTGCCCTGCACCGGCCATCTCCACATCCCCCACGGGAAATTAGGATCCCTCAAAACCTCTTAATCCCACTAAATAACATCATATGCTTTCTGTTAAATAGGCCAGAGCGCTCCTCACCGTGGATTCTAGGAATACCAATGAAAGAAGAGCAAATCCTCTGCCCTTCACGAGAATTACAGCCTCATCATGCTCAGCTGGAGACAGATGACTGCCTAGATCATCTTTCCAATTACACATCTCCCCCTGAGCCCCCCCAGCTTGGCCATCCCAGCTTGGAAAACCCCATCCAACGTCTTTTCTTAATTATCAAAGGCCCTTTTTGGCTGGCTTCATGCACTGGGAGCAGGAATTCCCACAGCCCAGGTGAGCCTGGGATGGGATGGGATGGATACCTTTGCTAAGCAACCGTGCTGCTTTGTGCCAGCTCACGGTGACACTGAGAGACAGCAACAATGGGAACCTCTCTGCTCTGCCCCCGCACCCATCAAACCCCTCAGCACACAAAGCCTCGCCAGGGTTTGATGCCTGGGCCACCTGCAGCACCCCAAACCTGCTGGGGGGAGCTCCCAGCCTCCACCACCCACACCTGGGGGGCTCAGAGGGTGCTCTGCACCTCCTGTCCCCCTCCTTGGGGATGTGTCCCACCAGCCTGCCTGGCCTTGCAGCTGGGGAGATGGGGCAGCCCCACTGCACCCCATTAATGCACCCCATTAATGCACCCCCCAGCCCTGGTAACAAAGGGGGTGGGGGTTCTGGACCCTTCCCACTCTTCCAGACCCCTCACCCTTGCTGGGGCCATGTGCCACATGGGATCCATCCCATCAGCAGTGCCCACCTTGGCACAGGGGGTCACAAGGGTTTGTCCTCCCTCTAACACCCCTGCCAAACCCACACACACCAAGGACGGGCACAGAGCACCCCAAAACATCCCCTAACGCCCTGGAACCCTAAACCCCACATTCCCTGTGGCACTGGGGTCCCAACCAACCCACCCTGCCACACTGGGGATCTGGAGGGTGTTGCCTCACTGCTCATCACCCCCCAAAAAGATGCAGGTGTGGTGAACAGCCCCACCAAACCCCCAGTGCTGACACCTCCCCAAAAATCACACAGCTCCCCCCATATCACACAACCTGGTGCCCACCTCCCCCTGCATTGCTGCCCCTCCCAAACCAAGCACCCCACAATGCACACACCCTAAACCACACACCCCATTGTGCCTCCCAGGTGCTAAAACACCACCCCAAACCCCACACATGGCCTCCTCCACACCATACACTGTGCTCCATCCCCCAAAAACACACACCCCCCGTGTGGGGACCCCCAAACCCGAAAGCACACAGCCCCCACTGTGTGGGGACCCCCAAACCCACAGCCCCTGCCGTGTGGGGACCCCCAAACCCACACACCACGTGTGCAAAGACTCATCCCCACATCCCCCCCCACAGAGTCACGAACACCGGTGCCCACCCCCCATGCACGGTGGCGTGTCCTGTGCCTCCAAACCACGAACCCTGGTGCATCCCTCCCCCAAACCACGCACCCCAATCACCCCCCCAAACCACGGACCCTGATGCATCCCCTGCTGAACCCCCCCAAACTGCGGACCCCAATCCCTTCCAGTGAACCCCCCCCAAACCACGGTCCCCGATCACCCCCCCAAAACCACGCACCTGGTGCATCCCCTGCTGAACCCCCCCAAACCACAGACCCAATCACCCCCTCTGAACCCCCCCAAACCATGGATCCTGGTGCATCCCCCGCTGAATCTCCTCAAACCACGGACCCCAGTGCATCCTCCCCCAAACCATGCACCCCGATCACCCCCTTTGAAATCCCCCCCAAACCACAGACCCCAGTGCATCCCTCGCTGAAGCCCCCCAAACCACAGACCCCAATCACCCCCGCTGAACCCCACCAAACCACAGACCCCAATCACCCCCACTGAACCCCACCAAACCATGGATCCTGGTGCATCCCCCAGTGAGCCCCCCCAAAGCAGGGACCCCAGTGCATCCCCTGCTGACCCCCCCCCAAATCATGGATCTGATCACCTCCTCTGAACACCCCCAAACCACGGACCCCGATCATCCCCTCTGAAATGCTCCAAACCACGGGACCCTAGTACATCCCCCTCTGAACCCCCCAAAACCATGGATCCCGGTGCAGTCCCTCTGAACCCCCCAAACCACACACCCTGATCACCCCCTCTGAAACCCCCCCGAACCATGGACCCCGATCACCCCCCCAAAACCACGGACCCAGTGGATCCCCGGTGAGCCCCCCCAAACCACGGACCCCGCTGCATCCCCCCCCCCAAACCACGGACCCCGATCACCCCCCCAAAACCACGGACCCAGTGGATCCCCGGTGAGCCTCCCCAAACCACGGACCCGACCCCCCTCGCTGAAACCCCCCCCAAAACCACGGACCCCGCTGCATCCCCCCCCAAACCACAGACCCCGATCACCCCCCAAACCACGGTCCCGGCCCCGATCCCCTGCCCCCGGTGCCCTCCCCCGGGGCCGGTTGTGCCGCCGGTACCTCTTGGAGCGCTGCAGGAGGGCTCCGGCCGCCCGCTGGCCCCGGTAACCGGGCGGGGCGGCTCCCCAGCAGCTCGGGTCCGACATCGCCGCTCCCCCCCCGGTACCGAGCGGCTCCCCCGGCACCGAGCGGCGCCCCCGGGACCGTGCGGGGCCCGGAGCGGGGCCGGGAGCGGGGCCGGAGCGGGGCCGGGAGCGGGGCCGGGCTGCCGCCGCTGCCGCCGCCGCCGCCGCCTCCCGCTGCCGCCTCCCGCCCCTTCCCGCCCGGCGGCGACGGGGTTACCATGGAAACGGGCAGCGCCCCGAAACGGGGTCGGGGTTGCCATGGAGATGGGGGGGCTCACCCCCCAAAAAGGGACAGGAAGTGGGGGTGGGGGGGTTAACAACGGGAAGGAGGAAGCGGCACAAAAACGGGGTCGGGGTTACGGGAGGGAGGGGGCATCACCCCAAAATGGGGTCAGGGTTGGGCTGGAGGTGGGGCAGCACCCCAAAATGGGGTCAGGGTTAGCCCAGTGATGGAGTAGCACCCCAAAATGGGGTCAGGAGTACCATGGAGAGTCAACAGCTGCTCCTGGTGCCTTCGAGGGGCACAAACATCATCCCCTAAGTCACTGGGGGCAGCCCCAAAGCGTGGGGGGGGTGATCCTGGGAGCCCCCTGCCAGCCATGGGATGTGCCCTCTGAGGGCACCCACAGGGTCCTGGCAGTGCCCTGCAACCTCCCACCCCCAGTTCAGCCAGGGAGATGCCAGCTCAGGGCCAGTGGCACTCACCCTCCTGCATGGTGGCACACCAGGGCCACCAGAACCCCCCCAGCTGTGTGGGGTGGCACTGCCACACTCACCGGTGCCACAGCCTGAAATCCTGGTTGGGCAGCGGGCAGCACACTTCCCTTTAGCTCCTGCCCTGCAGCCTTGAGACACCAGCACAGACTGATGCCTGGCCTTGTCCCCATCCTCATCCACCTCCTTGTCACTATCAGCACCCCAAAAACTCCTCAGGGCCTCGGCTGAGCACTCACAAGGGCAGGCTGGTTTTCACACCAGGACACACCAGGGCACACCAGGGCACAAGCAGGGCACACATGGGGCACAAGCAGGGCCCCGTGTGCAGGCAGGGCACACCAGGGCACACCTGGGCACAGGCAGGACACAGGCAGGGCACATCAGAGCAAAGGGAGGGTTCAGGCAGGGCACACCTAGACACAGGGAGGGCACGGGGAGGGCATAGGCAGAGCCCTGTGTGCACGCAGAGCACAAGCAGGGCACACACAGAGCACACACAGGGCACAAGCAGGGCCCTGTGTGCAGGCAGGGCACAGACAGGGCACACCTGGGCACAGACAGGGCACAGGCAGCCCCAAGCCTCCTGCCCTCCTGCCCACAAATGGCTCTGCTGTTGCTGAGCGGCGCCAGAGCTGCCACCAGCTGCTCCCCCCGGCACACAGACAGACGGACGGACAGACGGACGGACAGATGGACGGAGGCAGCGGGTGCCGGGCAGGTGCTGCTCTGTGCCGCGGGTGCCACGGGGCACAGGGCGGGCTGTGCCCGGCGGTGCCAGCACAGCTGGTGCACCTTGTCCCCGGGCACAGGGCACGGGCACCGCCTGCACCGCAGGGCGCCACAAAGGGCTTGGGGCATTTGGGGGAGGGTAGAGGGAGGAGTCGAGAGGGGAACCCACTCCCGGAGCAGCCCCTCCTCGCCTTCAACACGTGGCGGAGCAGAAAAGGTGACAAAGGAGGCGCCATCCCCGGTCCCACCCTGCTCCCATTGCAAAGTCGCCGTTCACAACTGGGGTGCTCAGAGCCTGAGCTGCTGTCACAACACCCCCAAAACGGACCAGAGAGCAGCAGAACAAAGCCAGGCTGGTTTTGGGGTGTGCAGGGCTTGGCACAGACCCCAGCCACATCACTCCGTGTGTCCCATCAAAGACAGTCACACCTTTTTTGGGGTGTCCCAGGACGTCCCTGGTGGAGGGGCCCCACCTCTCTGTCCCCATCTCCACCTCTCCCCCCTCATTCCCTGCAGCAGGCGGTTCCCAGGGCGGGTTTGGGGGGCTCTTACCTGCAGGGGTGCAGGGTTAGGAAGGGGCTGCAGGGGCTGCAGGGGCTGCAGGGGCTCAGCAGCGTCGGGCTCTGGCTGCTCGGTGACAGGCTGCAAGGCAAGAGGGGCCGGCGGGGGATCAGCGCTGATGGAGGGCGCTGGGGGTGACACCAGAGCGGAGGGGACAGGGCTGGGGACGGGGTGAGGCAGGGAAACTGAGGCAGAGCTCGGAGGGCAGCGGGGACACTGCGGGGGCTGAGGGTGGGGATACAGCGGGTGCTCCGGCGTGGCTGTCACCGGGACTGGGGCTGCGGGGGGAAGGACCGGGACCGGCGGCTCGGGGCGGGGATGCACCGGGATAGGAGCGGAGCGGGATGGGGCACGGGTGGGGACAGGGAAGCAGCGGGACGGGGATGGCCCGGGGTCCCGCCGCCCTCCCCCGGTGCCGGTGCCGGTGCCGGTACCAGCGAGCCGCGCCCCGGCTCCGACTCACTCCAAGGTCAGCGAGGGGATCTTCAGCCTGTCCCGACGCGACTTCATCCCGACACCGCCGCCACCACCGCCCCGCTCCGCTCCCGCCGCACCGGCGGCCCCCGCGCTGGGCGGCTCCTCCCGGGGCGGCGGCACCGGCGGCACCGACGGGGATCCCTGCTCGGCCCGCCGGGCCCGGGCCCGCCCCCGCGGCACGGCACGGCACGGAACGGAACGGCACGGCACGGAACGGCACGGCAGCCCCCGACCCCCGCGCACTCAACCCGGTCCAGCGGCGGCCCCGATCCGGAGCGCTCCCGGCACAGCCCCGGTGCATCCCCGGTACAGCCCTATACGGCCCCGGACAGCCCCAGCCGTGCCGGTATGGCTGCAGTGCATCCCTAACACCGCCCCGGTGCATCCCCAGCCGTGCATCCCCAGCACAGCCCCGGTACAGCCCCGGTACAGCCCCGGCACAGCCTCGGTACGGCCCCGGCGCATCCCCAGCCCAGCATCCCCAGCACAGCCCCGGTACAGCCCCGGTACGGCCCCGGTACGGCCCCGGTACGGCCCCAGCCGTGCATCCCCAGCACAGCCCGGGCACAAACACCCAGGGCAGCTCTGCAGCAGCCCCAGCACAGCCCAGTGTACCCCAGTACACCCCGGGACTGCTCAGAGCACCCCGACACAGCCCAGCACACCCCAGTATACCCCAATATACTCCAGTACTGCTTAGAACACCCCAACACACCCCAGTACAACACCCCAGGACTGCTCAGAACACCCACACACCCAGTACACCCCAGT